AGGAACCTTCAAGGACGCAAGCTATGTACTGAAGTAGTTAGTAGTGTGTGGAATTTCTTGTCCAAGAATCAATGCAACCCACTCAGAGAAGCAGCTACACGAGTACGTGGAGATAACATACTGTATGATGTTCTACGTAAATTCCTTGTTAAGAAGGAAGAACTACCTACCCTGATACATTCAATGAACAAATGTTTATTAAGTACCTATTCTCTGTATGGAGATAAATGAGACACAGGCCCATATCCTATGAAAGCGACAGTCATGTTCATCAATAATCACATTTTCACAAGCATTCCTCCTCATATCTCTCAGTTATATAATCATTCCACTTTAAGGAAATCAGGGCAGAGGGATGATGTTGGTAATCTCCAACATGTCCCCCTCAACATCCCTGTCATCTCACAGCACGTCTGGGGAACAGGAAGGCAGAAGAGATCATAGTAAGAGATAAGAGCTACTTACTATTTCTAAGCCTTAGAGTGAGAAATCCCTGGGAGTGATTTCCAGTTGTATCACTTTCTATGAGTAGCAGTAAGTAATTTCTTCAGCTTCTGTGAACCCATTTTATCACGAATAACATGTGTAAGAACTGCTTCTGATGCAATGTATGAAAAATGAGTAAGCTCAGGGAGACATAAAAGACACTAAATGTAGTTCCTCCTCTTCTTATTAGGGAAAAAGGCTGTAACAGAGAGGCCATATGCAAAGTCTTGACATCCAACCAACAAAGGCTCTCAAGCTTTGAGTAAGGACTACTGTGCAAAGGTAATTCTACCTTTAGAACTCTTTTAATAATGCTTTAAATCCAGTAGAAGCTATTATGGATTGTCTACCACCCAACTTTTCTACATTTGATCATCATGTTGTCCGTCTGTAAGTGAAGTTGCCCATCAGATGCTTATTTGTTTGCCTTTCACTTTTAAATTTCTTCTTGTAGGGGCAAGAATCACTACTTTGGATTCATTTTTTGAAAAACATTAAAAAAAAATCAATTCCTGGCATCAGCACTGAAGAGTTTCTGGCATCTTTAAAACTCTTCTCTCAGCTTCCCTGACATTGCTATCCTGGCTATTTCTCACCAGCCTAGCAGCTCCTTCTCAGTTCCCCTTGCTCTCGTCTCCTCAACTTCTAACAGACTTACACATTCCCTATTCCCAACCCCAGACCCCATTTCCTTTTATTTATTTTTTTTAATGTTTATTTATTTTTGAGAGAGAAAGAGAGAAACTGCGCACATGCACCTGCACGGGAGAGGGGCAGAAGAGGGAGACAGAGTACCCCAAGCAGGCTCCATGCTGACAGCAGAGCCGGATGTGGGGCTCGAATCCACAAACCGTGAGATCACGACTTAAGCCAAAGTTGGACACTTAACGGACTGAGCCACCCAGGCGCCCCTCCCCGACTCGAATTCTTTTCTGTTATCCTCCCACTCTACTGAAGTCATTTCAAGTCCATGACTTCAGCGCGTGCGTGCGCGTTCTCTCTCTCTCTCTGTATATAGACATACATATATATTTTTGTTCTATATGCACACGTATATACACATGTATATACATACACATATATGTACACATACCTGCGTGTGTATGTACATATGTGTATATACATACATATAAAGTTTATGTAGATATAACATGTATTCAGCCCCCCTCCCTCAATATGACTCTTGGGCTAATTATCTTACCAGCTCAAGATACTACTCAAAACACAATTCTCTTTTTACCCTCTCATATCTAGTCCTTCCCCTGGGTTGGCCACCTCAGGCAATGGTGGCACCATCTACACAGTTGCTCAAGTCCAAAATCAGGGAATCCACTTCTCTTTCACTCCCATATCCAATCCACCTGCATGCAACTCATTCTGCCACCAACTGTTATTATCTGTAACTCAGTAATAGCTTGGGTCTCCCTGCTTCCACTGTTGCCCCTGCCAATCCATTCTTTATCCAGCAGCCAGAGATGTTCAAACCAAACAGATCATGTTGCTACCTCACGAAAAATCCTTCAAGAACCTGCCACTGTATCTATAATAAAATCTTCTACTGGCCTCTTGATAGTTCTTTGGACACACCACTCTCTTCCCCTCACTATATTCACGTATACTGTTCCCTAGGCCTGGAATGCTGTTCTGCCCTATCATTAACTTACCCTCTAGGTTTTAGCTTGATGTCACATTTCTTGAAAACAAGCCTTCCCAACTCCAATATGATCAGGTCCCATTATATCCTTACTAGACCCTACATCTTTCTTACATAGCACTGCAAATAAAGTTGGTAAAACTATGTTATTTGTGCAACTATTTGGTTACGGTATATCTAGGCACAATATTTGTTTTGCTGACCACTGCATCAACCCACAGTACCAATAGCCAGGTGGCCAATACCTAACAAACTCCTGTCTCCAATAAATATTTGATAAATGGAAAAACTCATGAGTCCTGGCTCTACAATGGCTGCATAAGACAGCAAGATGCAGCATGAATATTTATTTCACTTCATTTGGATTTTTAGGGAAAAAACGTTTAAGTCACAGTGGTGGGCAAAGAAAGGAATTCAAGTGGAAGACTGAGAATATAGTTCTTTCTCCTAATAAGGATCTACAGTTCTTGTCTTTTACTTCTTTTGTCCTGCTATAGAACATGGCACAGAGTTACATCCAGTTAAGGTAGGTTCTTAAGCACTCAGTGACCAAAGCAGCCTACAGGACACTGATCAAGTGCTAGAATTCAATGTTACAGAATTCTAAATATTATGATTCATTGAGGGCTAGAAGTTTAGAAGAGATTTTATGCAGGTAAAAGTAAACCTAGACTGGGTGATGAACAACCTTTTGGGATCTAGTCAAACTATGTTATAACCCCTTTCCTGCCCTCCTTCAACAGTGGTATATCTCTATATCCACATCTGTATTCCTTAACGTGACATGTTTCTTCAGTCCATTTGCTAAATTCTAAACAAAATTATCTTCCATAGGAGATTCTATGCTTAGTTAACCTAACATACCTTTTTCACCGACCATCAAGGAACCAAGGGGCAGAAGGTAAAAACAAAAACAAACAAAAACTATAAATAACTCATTATACCACCTGTTGCATAAATGAACTATGAACATAACATTTTATATACTATATTCATCTAATAAAGTAGAAATTAAGAGAATCCTAGAGTTTATGTACTTTCTGAAGGAGCAACATGTATCAAATAATAACTATACTAGCCATTATTTTCCAGGCACTGAACACGGGCCTTGATGTTCATTTCTTTCTAATCTTCAAAATGAAATCTTCAAAATAAGCAGGAGAGGAGGCTGAAAAGGTTGAGTGGTTTCTTCAACCACACAGCTAACAATACAGGTGTTCTTTTTAAGACACTGTAAACTGATCAAAAGCTCCCAAACACAAACCCTCAAGTTTTGGAGAACTCGAAGTGCTTTGCTATTCAGACAATTTTATAGGATGCTTACAAGTCCAAGGTCTATAACATACTTCCATTTAAAAACCCTTTTTAACACTTATGGGTAAATTTAGACTGCTTTACTACTAAACTACTCAGCTTTGGTGTTATCTGAAATACAGCTTTATGATTTTTTAAATAATAAAAATGCTGTAATAAAAGAGAAATTACCACCTACACATCTACTTTACAAAGATGTATAGTTTTGAAAGGGTAAAAATAATAAATTTGAAAGAGAGTATAGAAGTATAAGTGTTTTACAAATCATTTTTCTTCTGATATGACAAAATACCAGAATGGAATAACAGGAGTAGTATTATCGAAAGCTAAATGATGTCAGGCATTTAAAGAGTCACTAAGCTCTAAGGATTGGGACCTCTGTAATTATTTCAAACTGTATGAATGTTACATTATCAAACACTAAGACAAGTATAGTCTTGTATGAAATGACTGTATGAGATCAAATAATCACATCCAAAAAAAATTACATACTTTCTGTGTTTAAACTTTTCCACATTTGCATTCACAATATCTCATCGATGTAATCATTATATACTTGTTAAAGTGGAAATCAAGTAATCCGAACTCATAAAAGTTAAATAGTAATCAAATCTCAAAGTGTTGAGGTTATCTCAAAATAATAATATTGGGCCCTGAAGAAATAAAAATCATATGTGGCCATAAAAAACAGAATTGCAGACATCAATAGACCTTATAGGGATGGTTTTCTGTTCACTAAGTGTAACCAGTTATGCAGGACCCCAGAAGTTATGGACATCCTTCATAGAAAACAACCAATTCTCTTGTTTCTCGTTCTCAGTTTCTTTCTCTGCCGTCCCCCTATTTTGGACTTTGAGTTCCCCCGACTCCCGGTAATCTTTATATAGTCCTCTCCAAAAATTTATGTAATAAAAAACAGATTTATGCCATTATCAGGAACAGCATACCTCAATATCTGTATAATCCTTTGCATAGTCAAGATAGCAGGTTTCAGCTTTAATAATTCATAGACTATAATAAACACATCCGGTTAAGATTCTCCCTTCAAACGTTAGCGTTCCCACTCTCGAGACCCCTAGTGGGTGTACATAAGCCATACACTACAACCTTTAAAAAGGGCGCAGATGGTAGGTGCTCTCCCCGCTCTCCCCAGAGACATCCTCACCTAAACCTCCTCGCACATTCCCTTTAAGGAGCCCACAAGCACAACTGTCATTCAGAGGGATGGTGACTGTTACAGCGTGGGTGAGAAAAAGTATACAGGAGACACACAAGTGGATGATGAAGGTTGTTACACGCAGCCTCTCTTCCATTACCTAACTAGCTTAACCCGCTGCAAACTTTTATGAGATTAAGTTACATTCCTCTGCAATTCCACCCTTGACAGCTGACTGCTGAGAAGCCAACGGAGTCGTGCACGTCTATTCCCGCCACCTCACCCGTGGCCAGCCGGCGGCCACATCCCCCCGGTCAAGGAGGACCAGTGGTTGGGGAAAGAGGGAGGACTGGTGAGAGGGATGCAGGGAGAGGGGCCGGGAGAGCTCACCTTTTCAAGCTCATCATGGAGCTCAGCCAAGCTGGGCCGGAGTAGCTTCTCGCCCAGCTGCGCCGCGGTGTGCCGGTAGTGATCGATCCTGGGCACGGCGTCCATGGTGTTGTGGCCGAAGGTGCGCAGGTAGTAAGTGTTGGTGTGGGTGTCATAGTAGTAGTGCTGGTGGTGCCCACTGCCGCCGCCGCCGCCCGAGTGCAAGCTACTGCCCTCGCTCAGCACC